TACTACTACTAATAGAAATACTAAAACACAACAGTACAAACACTTGAAACAGTCACACAGGCACCCATTTCTTAGTAAACATTTCCATCCAATGCCACCAAATTCTAGCTGTGTTGACAAATTTGGCCAAATGTACAAAGATTTAAGTTAAATGTGTTTCTGGAAATTGTTTATTTATACTTTTTAATACACAGAAATTAGTTTTGGAATTCTATCAATCTATTTATTTATTTACATTTTTGTTACATATTTTCTTCCACAGTTTAGTTAGGATGCTTGGGAAAACCTCCGATCTCTTGAAGGATAACTGCAGTTTCAAGTCTCGTCTTTAGGTGGCGGTAAAGACACCAAACTGCTGGATGTCAGGCAACAAAAAGAAGCAGAAGAAGAGGGAACGTTCTTGTTTTTGTCAGCTGCCACACGCAGCAATCCTGATGCGAAAATGCGCATCGAAAAGTGTTATTTTTGCTCGGGACCAGTGTACCCCGGACATGGGGTGATGTTTGTACGGAACGACTGTAAGGTATGGCGCAGGTTTTTGCCCGAACAATGCTGTTAATTTTAACCGAAGCTCCTCTTTTGACTGATAGTGGTGGCTCGTTAGTGTACGGCTAATACTAGCATGCTAACATAACGTGCTGGATTCATTCACGTGGGTCCAAAGCAGGGAGTTAGGGCTGGAAAACGGTAAATAACAGTCGTAAATCGTATTTGCGACGGAAAAGGGAAGAAATAGACAGTAAAGTTCTTTTTAAAACACATTACTTTATTTCACAAACCTAATGGACATAAAGTTGTTGGGTGAGTCTGGACGTGTAAATCGGAGGGCCTCGGCTTTTCCTGATGGAGTGAGTGCGCCCTCTTATGCTTCAGTGTGAGACCAGGAGCTTGGAATTGTAGGCTGTAAACAAATGTTAATACAAACACTTGATGGTCCTCAATCCTGACTTTTGTGCCACGGTAATGGTATTTATAAACATCTTATTTTGTAGGGAAAATATGCTATAGGTCATTAAACTCGCTTGTGTTTAGTTTACGTATGTCTCTTGTCTTCCGGTTATTTGTGAATATATACTCAGTAGTACAGTTACAGCAATGTTTCATAACTTTGTTCTTAAAGATAAAAATGTATAATGTAGTTCTTCTTCAGTGTATCTGATTTCGTACACAGGGAAATCCGGAAGTCAAAAAGACTGTTTAGATAAAGGATTTAATAATGTACAATAAATGTAGGTTTAAGTGCTAATAACAAACAGTAAACGTTTTGAAAATGTATTTTTAAGTCGTAAAGTATCAACTATATCCCCTATATATATGTATGTATGTTTTTGTATATGTAAATTCATAATTTTCCTGTTATTTTTGGAGGTCGTCTTAAACCATTTCTCCAATTTCAGCTATTGATTTTGCCAGTGCACTTCCAATCTTGAAATTTCAATCATTAAATTTTCAGCAAATGTAATATCGTTACTGCTGATAATGTCTCACTTTCTATCATTAACTCATGTGCTTGTTTATATCCACACATTTTCTTATCGGGTGATCCCTAAATTGTTTTTCTCTCTTTAATAAAACAGACATTCAGATTCTGCAAATCAAAATGCCACAAGAACTTCAAGAAGAAGCGCAACCCAAGAAAAACAAGATGGACCAAAGCATTCAGAAAGGCATCAGGAAAGGAGCTGACAGTGGTAAGCTGTTCATCAATGAGGACCACCTCGTCGTTCATTTGTTTGACTAAACCTTAACCAACACACTTGCTGTCTTTCAGGATAACTCTTTGGAGTTTGAGAAACGCAGAAATATTCCTGTCAAATATAACAGGGAGCTTTGGGATAAGACAGGTAATGTATATATTTATTTATTAGAAGCTTTTTGGGCGAAAATGTTCACATTAATTGTATGTATACCATTAAATACCAACATTAGGAATCTCAGAGCACTTAAGAAATGTAAGGTTAAGAGTTTCAAATACAGAACCCAGCTCGGGGGCCCAGTTAGGGGAAAGAAAAGGAATAACATGTAAGTACGTAGAGAGGCAACAGAAGGGAAACCACAAACTGTGAGACAGACTAGGAACAAAGGTAATGGTAGCATACAAACACACGAATGAAAGATGCATGAAAATAGATAATATAGTTGGCAGCAATTATTCAGGATCATAGGATCTAATCTTACTTTTAAGCTTTATCAACAACAAAAGTTTGAAGTTTAATCTTAGAGGAAGAGGGGCATCTACCTGCAAAACCCAACCCTGGCAGAAGAGGAGCCTGATAGCTGAAGCCTGTGTACAGTTTTTATTGGATTATTATAATCCTCTAAGGTCTTTAAGGTATCATCGAGCTTTGTGAGTAGAAAGGCTTTAAATTGTATATAGGTATATATATATATTTTACATTTTATCTAGCAGAAATGTGATCTGTCTCATTAGTTGTTCCTTCTCTGACTGCAGCATCTTTGATCAGCTGAAAGCTTTCAGGGAGGTTTTAGGACAACCAGTAACAAATCCATGGGCTAGTTTTTCAAGTATCACTCTATAATAAGATGTTCTGATTGTCACATACATGAAAGAACACACTCATATAAACCTCTGGTTATTGTCTCATTCTAAGCAATGTGTTTATGTTCTGATAACTTTTGCAGTGGAAGCAATGAAGAAAGTGAACGAAATAAAACATAAACGACAGGCAAGATTTATCATGAACAGGTGAGCATGTTTTTTTTTTGTTGTTTTTTTTAATACTTTAATAGACTTTGTTCAGATTTTTGAATATTGAATATTAAATGTGATACTTTTAAAATCTCTGCAAATTAGGGAAATATGTTTAACGCTTGGGATAAAAGCACTTGCCTTGCCTAAACCATTTCTGTTCTGTAGATTAAAGAAGGGCAAAGAGTTGGAGAAAGAAGAGGCCATCAGCGAAGTCAAGAAAAACATTCACCTCATCAAAGCACCACATGCAGGTAAAGACTCATGAAGTTATCCATATGACTGTGCATGTAGTGAATTTGGTGACAGTGATTTTAGTACAAGTGTCTTACAGCCAAGTGTGACTTTATCAGACAAAACAGGGTAAGGGTCAATGGTGCAGCACTCTTTAGGTATAAAAGAGATGATGAACCAATGTCTGCACATAAAATAGAAATAAGATTACTATTCTTGCTTTTCCTTTCTTCAGAATGGAGGTTCTTCAAGTAGAATCATTGTAAATGCAGTTACTGATCATACATATTTGTTGGTTACTTTTCCATTTAATAAAGATAATTTCAGCATGGTTTGCACTATCTGTTACAGGAAAAGCCAAACAGTTGGAAGACAAAATGGTGCAGAAGTTGCAAGAAGATGTGGATATGCGGGAGGAGGATGAATAATCTTCTGTTGCCTTTTTTTTTTTTTTTTTTTTTTTCTCCTAAAACTTTATTGTATATTTGTTTGGAAATTTAAGTTTGCAAATAGCAGTTGTTGTGCTGAGTAAAGCATTTGGCTTTAAATTGCTGTGAAAGATTTGAAGGTATTGACTTCATAAAGGCCTTAGTGCAAAGCAGCAGCCATTAACTGCAGTTTTCCCAGTTGCTGTTTTGGTTTTCACTGTGTGGTATTTGGAGCAGTGAAGAAATGGATTTAACCCTGTTGCAAAGTCTAATGTATTACAGTTGTTCTGAAAATATTAAGATTGCCGATATATTAAAAAGCATCTTTTCTGGAATTTCTCCTGCTCTTTATTTTGTGAGATGATCATAATACCAGTGTGTGAGTGTGTGTTTGAATGGGTGGATGACTGGATATGTAAAGTGCTTTGGGGTCCTTAGGGACTAGTAAAGCGCTATATAAATACAGGCCATTTACCAAATAATACATGAATGAATATTAAAGTTGCTGCCAATAATAGATTCGATTTTGGAAGACTAATAGACCATAAACCGTGTTACTTTTTTCAGCAGGTTATTTGGCATGAGCATCATAAGAGATTAGCTGCCCTTGTATATATTGTACAATGTAAACAAATTTATCCTTATCTGCAGTAACTGTTATACAGCAGGAAAAAAACTATAGGTCTGTGCCAGTCTTTCAATCACAACTTGTCTGTACAGAGAAATTGTGAGGGTCAGTTATTATTATACTGTTAAAATGGTGGCTGTGCCTAATAAACATGTTGGAAGTTTCAAATAATGAGGTCAGAGTACATATAAGTCCTACTTTTGGCTCTTTATGATGCCAGGAAGAGCAGATATCCTTCACATGGTCATTTTGAGCATGTAGCTCTTCACATCTTTAAAACAAATGCAATTATTCATAGGTGGATTCAACAAGCTGCTGGAAACATTGCTCAGATTTTGGGCTGCATTGACAAAATTGGCATCACATAGTGGCTGCATATCCATGATGTGATCCACCGCGCCCCAAATGTGTTTGATTGGATTGAGATGTCCTAAGTGGGGTCATTTGAACTCATTGTCATGTTCAAGAAACCAGTCTGAGATTATTTGAGCTTTGTGACATAGTTCACTATCTTGTTTAAAGTAGCCTTAAGAAGATGGGTGCACTGGGAGTACACTGTAGTAAAGGGATGGACATGGCCAGCAACAGCAGTGAAGTAGGCTGTGGTATTTAAATGATGCTCAGTTTGTACTAAGTGGCCCAAAGTGTGCAGAGAAAATATCGTTCTCAACTTTTCAAAACCACCAGCCTGAACTGTTGACACAAGGCAGGATGGCTCCATGCTTCCATGCGGACTATGGCAGATTCTGGCCCTATCATCTGAATATTGCATCAGAAGTCAAGACCAAGTACATTTTTCCAGTCATCTGTTGTCCATTTTTTGTGATCCGTTGCATAATTTCCTTTGGGGTTAATAAACTATTATGTTTCTTATTTAACAGGTGTACCTGAACAAAGTGACGGGTTAAAAAAATCCATATACAATGCAAAATCAAATTTCAACAACGCTATCATATTTTTTACGCGTGGATTAGTCTGAAGAAAAACAACTTTGTTATTAGCGCCTACAGATTCTATGATCGCTATCGTCCCGCTCATCTGCGTCTCTAGCATCGATTCACCGGCCTGTTGCTACACAGGCTGCATGACAGGCTGCTGCTGTCTTCGCCCGCTGCTTTGACAGTGCTACCTTTTATCTTCCCGAAGAGGAGCTTATTCGGCCATAACTACAGTTTTGCGAACAGAGCGGGAATACAGCACAACCATGTCCGAGGAAGTTGAAGAAACGAGAATTTCGGAGGAACAGCAGGTAAACTGTAACCACTAAATGGAAAATTACATCAAATTAACACCAGTTAGCCAGTGCTGCTTGGTTAGCTGGCGGCTAGCACCAAGCTAGTTAGCCAGCTGCTAACCTTGACTGAGAGCCTTAGCGATGCTGTCGCTGAATTGGCTAATATTCTGTTAGCGTTTGTTGGTAGAGTAAAATTGTGCTGTTTTGGGTCTGGCAAACAGGTTTCTTCACTGTACATGCAAAATTGTACAGTAGCTCATCATGCTAACAGTAACTTTAATGCTAGTGCAAACAGCAGTTTACCTCATGGCGGCGCCGGTATCTAATCAAACAAAGTAATCTGTGACCATAGTATGTGCTGCTGTCAGTATACAACATATTGAAGTTTCGTTATTGTCAGGTTGATGCATACGGCTGGAAAACCGAATTGCAAGTCGAAAGTTTTACTATCCTTACACATTGCACTCTGTCAACAGGAAATGGAGGACAAGGTAATCAGTCCAGAAAAATCAGAGGAGGCCAAACTGAAGGCCAGATATCCCAACCTTGGAGGCAAGCCAGGGGGATCTGAATTTCTCAGGAAAAGACTCCAGAAGGGGGTGAGTTTTCTCACCTAACTTTGGCTAGCTACTACAATTAAAAGATGTCAGCCTTATAGAGATCTCACTCTGTTTATTCTTGTTTACAGCAAAAGTATTTTGATTCTGGGGACTACAACATGGCCAAGGCAAAAATGAAGAATAAACAGTTGCCATCCGCCCCAACGGAGAAGACTGAGATCACAGGGGGACACATCCCAACACCTCAGGACCTACCTCAAAGAAAAACTTCCATCGTGGCCAGTAAACTGGCTGGTTGATGGTTTTATGTTTACTGTTTTGCTACTATTCCCATGTCCATTTAATATCTACTTCGCACACTGTTTACATTTTGTTTATTTTTCTCATTTTGTTTGTATTCTGTAAGAACAAGTCATGTAACAAGCCAAATACTTGAAGAATTGGCAACTGTGAGGCACTGGGGCATCAGTGAGACAAATTCAGCTAAGTAAAAGTGTTTCTCAGGCTCTTAAAGACTCAATACATTGATATTTCCTGAACAGTCATCGCACTTATATATTTAGATGTTATGGCTATCTTATGTTGACAAATTATTTTGCTTTTAAGAATATATGCCTCCAAAGTAAATGCTTGAAAGCTTGTGAAAAGGTTCCGTTTTCCTCTTTGTTCCTGCTCATTAGGCTAGAAACAGAACTATGAACAGAAAATTGATTTTACAGCAATTTGAGGGATCCCATGCTCTTATGGAGGCATTTCAATGGTGAAAAGTCAATAATCCTCCATTTGTGTTTTTTTCCTTCTACTCTGTTTACGTCCCTCGTTTTCTCTGTCATGCTACTTGATTCCATGCTTTTGAAGTGCTCAAGACTAGCTTTGTATCCAGTTGTGTTTAAGTCTAATTAGTAACATTGGTTTGCATTGACTTGCTGCTGGTCTCAATCTCATCCTGACCTCTAAAATGGCCTTAAAGTGAATGAATGGTTTCTCTTGAGCAATATTTGCTCCCTCTGTTAGAATATTAGTTGTGAATCTTGCCTGAAATGTCCTTCACTGTCTGATTGGGATTTATGATTTTATGGAAACAAACTCCCCTGTCATGTCTGGAGTGTGCATGTGCATTTACTGTGCAGTCGCACTGTGCCATTTGTTTTGTAAATAAAAATAGTTTTGCATAATAGCTTACCCTTTTTCAGTGGAATTTGTCCTTGCATGATTTTTTTTTTATGCTTCAATTTCACTAAGAAGCAAAACTACAGAACTGCTTGAAATTTTTCTATTGCATTGATATATTTATAAAAAAAGATATTTTACTTTTTATATTGTGTTTTTATATTGAATATTTTTTAGTTAGTATACAGATACATTCTGAGGTGTGCAAGTCAATTACCCCATGCCACTGAGCTGGAACCTGTTTATATTACAATGCCCAAAACCATTGGATGAGAGCATGAATAGAGTGGTGAAATGTACCTGTACTCTCAAGTATTTCAATGGTATGCCTATTCTGCCCTCGCACTTAACTAGGCAGACAGACAACCATCATCCCATGTGGAAAAACCACACCGTTGTTCCTTTCTGGTGGATTTATTTGATTGGATGCATAGCATGGCTTTGTTGAAATACATGAATGGATGAATGTATTTCAACAAAGCCATGCTATGCATTTCTACATTTGTTCCATAATATTTTGTATGCAAATAATATGCATGTTAATGAATCAATACCGATGATCCAATAATGTACACTCACTTGCCACTTTGCTAAGAAGACCAGTTCAACTGCCAATAAGCCAGTTTGTTTGAGATTCAGCAGGACTACAGAAACTCAGTCCAATTAGGCATGTGGACATGATCAAGACAACCTGCTGAAGTTCAAACCAACTGTCAGAATGGGGGGAAAGGTGAATGTGGCATGGTTGTTTGAGGTAGATAGGCTGGTCTCTATCTTTATTTCAGAAACTGCTAATCTATTGGGATTTTTCTGTGAGCGTGTAGGATTCTGTGTAGTGGGTACTTTAACTTTTTGCACTAACACTTAAACAGGACTTTGACTTCAGGTAAAGACTATAATCAAATGGAACCGGCCCATGAAGCATCTCAATCTGGCTATCCTTAAAGTGAAACAACCTCAGCCTCTCATCAACCTACAGACAAACGGAGGCATGGTGGCAATAGTTTGACTTAAATGACTAACAAAAGTCCATATTGCTATTTCATTCAATTTCAGCCAGGTGCTCCACTCATGTTCAGACAAACCTATGATGAAAGAATATTCATTCTAATAATAATGTTTCTACAGCATTGACGCAATCTTATGTCATTGTTGGGTTTTGAAAAACTCACTCAAATGTGTTTTGACAAACAACATTTCCTATATTTTAACGTAATTTAATAATGTGATTTTCTCTTCATATCTAAGAAGCAGACTGATATGAAGTAAGTGAAAGGTCACATTATGCACAGCACATCTTACTCGGGCACAGAAAAAAACCGTCTAAATACTTTTTCCACTGCCCTGCAAAAACAGTTCGTTAATACAAGAAGATGTGATCTTCTGCGCAGTGCCCCGTGATGCTCCCTGTGGACAAGTAATGATTTCGAAACAGTAATATTTTCCACTATAATTAGTAGTTCCGCGGTTACAGTGTGGCGTTGTCCTCGCGGGCTGAGATAAGTTTGCTGGCCGCTGGGAGGCACGCAAGACGCACGAGAGCAAACCGTGCCTGAGCACGCGCATGTGTTTAATCCCACTCTCCGCTAGGCGCTCGGAGTCCCAGAGAGCGGAGGAGGAGAGGAGAAAAGTTAATGGCATTCTACTCTGGGAGTCAGTAAAAATGCTCGGCGCCTCTCTTCGCGGTAGGAAAACGTTTGAGCAGGCTCACTGAGGACGTTAAAGAGATGGCAGCCGCTGAACTTTACTCCAAGGTAGGTTTGAATTTGACTATCAGGTATGCAGCTTCACCCAGCTGAGTTAGTTAACTTTTAGGTAACTGTCAAGTATGGCGTTTTTCTCATAGGAGTGTCTGCTTAAATGAAGAGTTTACTAAATGAAGAGTTTAAGAACTCTTCATTTAGTAAAGGTCTTTAAATCAGACCTTTAGACTGTGTCAGCGCTGATGATATGAGTGAATGCTTCATAATTGCTATTCTTCAATTTTCCTGTCACTGATGTTTATGCTGTAGTTTTTTGTACGGTTTCTGTAAGTGAATGGTTGGTTGAATGGCTCTGACCCGTTTCCCCTCAGTATGCCCGTGTATGGCTCCCAGATGCAGCAGAAGTGTGGAAATCAGCAGAGCTTACCAAAGACTACACTCCTGGCGACCAGACGCTGTCTCTGCAGCTGGAGGATGGCACGGTGAGACAATTAAATACCAACTACTGTACATACGGGACACACAAGAGTTTCACATAGAGGCACTGAAATGGACATTGATCTTCTGTCTGAGAGCCATGCGCACATTTCTCTGCAGGAATGCTGGCAACAGAGCCTCATAAATTTCTATGTGCCCTGAAGGATTATTTGAGACAGCTGAGTTGTTTGATGAGCGCACAAAAATCCTTAAAAAACACTTAAAGAAGTCAACAAATTCATTTGCTGCCTTCAAAATAGGTGGAAAATAGGAAAAATTATGTGGTGAAAGAGTTATCCTCAGCTATGCTGCTGCCTGCAGCTATGATGTCGAGTTTGGGCATGCACAGCAGGTATGAAAATGAGGCCAAAGCTTTATCGTGAGTGAACATGAACAGGGGGAAGCACAGTGGCTGCTTTTTAGCTTCATCATTAGGCACACCTGGTGATGCCATTCCCTAAAAGTGGAAGCAACTTACTCTCTTCTCTTCTTCATGTTTTGCTACCTTTTTGTGTCTTTCTAGAAAGTGGAGCACAAAATAGACCCACGTACCAACAACCTGCCACCACTAAGAAACCCAGATATCCTGGTGGGGGAGAATGACCTCACAGCTCTCAGCTATCTCCATGAGCCAGCAGTGCTACACAACCTCAAAGTGCGCTTTATCGACTCCAGGTTGATTTACACATACTGTGGTAATGAGCGACATTTCCTTTGACTCGCACTATCACTGTCACTGTAGACTTTGGAGCTCTGCTCACTGTACACTCTGACATAATCTGCACTACGTTATGCTGATGTATGTGCTGCAGGTCGCTTTTAAAGGAACACAGCACCATATAATACAGGATACTTCAAATAAGTGAATTAAGTGAAAGCTAATGGATACTTGATTTTACCACCTTGTAGCTGGCGGTTGGTTCCCAGTGGACATTCCTGTGCTCCTGTTGCCTACAATAATGTGAAAAACAACGTTTATTTTGACTGTAGGCAGCCTGGGCCACACATTGGCTCTAGAATATTTTGGTATACTGAGAAGTTCATTGTGAACTCTGACTCCAAGATGACCAGATCCTGTGTGTGCAAACAAGCCCAAATCATCACCCCTCCACCACCATGGTTCAAAGTTGATTACAGGTGTTTGTGCTGCTCTGTTTGTTTGGTGCTATGGTGGTCATACTTGTGGATGATCAGTTAACTACAGGTCATTTGATTAGCTGAACCTGCTTTTTACCCTGTTAATGCTTTTTTTTTGTTGTTAATGCTTTTTACCCTGTTAATGCCTATACCATCAGTAAGAGCATATTTAGATTTTTACAGGACTGCGTTGGGTTCTGTGAATATTTTGTTTTCTGCATGAGTCTAGGTAAGCCTGTAATATATTTACCACCCTGTCATATAGTTCCAGATCCATAGTTAGTTGGATAAAACCACATTTCTTTTGAAGTATTGCCTCTCAACACCAACCTGTGGATTTTCATATAACAAATTTTCAAACAATCAAGATGGGCTCGAAGTGCAGTTTTTCAGCTTTAATCAAAGGGGCGTTTTTCAGAGCTAATTGTTAATTGTAAAACTAACAGTCATTTTAACAATAGAGATTGTTTTTGATTTCTGGTTGAAAATCCTGGTGCTTGTTCGTGGATCTTTCTAGATTTGGTTTTGTCTTCAGTAAATAAAAGCATGCTCTTTTTGGGTTGAGATCAGGTGTCTGACTGGAGACACTGAATTGAAGACATTGACAAGAATATGCCTTACAAAACTCTTGAGGTACTTTTGCCATATGCTTTGGGTCATTATCCATTTACAATATTAAACTCTGTCTGATCAGTTTTGGTGTTTTTGGCTGAATCTGAGCAGAGAGTACAGCCCTGCACACTTCACCCTGTTACTGCTATCAGCAGTCACATCATCAGTAAACACTAGTGGCCCAGTTCCACTGGCAGCCATGCATGGCCACACCATAACATTATTTTTAGTTTTTTCCCCCAGCCTAAAGAGTTCCTCTCTTACTTGCACTGACATCTCTCTGAGCCTCATATTTAAAATTACAGTGAAAAGCTATAATATGCAAATTCAACGTTGAATTCACTTCAGATAATATGTCGTCTCAATTTGTCTTGAAACACTGATGGTACAGGCCTCACCTAGCCCTACTTGAAAATAAAAGTTGATAAAATTTCTAAAACAGTTATTGCCATTTTATTTTTTAACTCCTTGAAATAAAGCTGGAAGCTTATGCTTCAGTCAGATCTTGATTGTTTTAAGTCCCTGGTGGTGGTATACAGAGACAAAATTACAAATATAGCTATTGTGCAACAAATTATGGATGACGAATGTCGTCCCTTTCTAGGGTCTCTGGTTGCCAGAGTCACTGTCTGTGTGTGGATGTGATGAGCAAGGTGTGGCTCTAACTGTGAAACAACATACTCACTGAAAAAAGACGTGCCAGTCAGAAGTCATTGTGAGCATATCCTGGATTATTTTCTCCCAGACTCTTTCACAAGTCTTTTTTCGTCCATAATGGTATGACGAGGCTGAAAACAAAAGGCAACAGAGCTTTTGTAACTGTGGCCCCCAGACTGTGGAACTCTCTCCCTTTGAGCTTGAGATCTGTGGACTCAGTGGTCTCTTCTAAAATCTCATCTTTTTAAACTTGCTTTTGGTTGATTTTTTTTTTTTTTTTTTTTATGTTTTAGCTTCTCTGTGAAGCACTTTGTGATTTTTATCTTGAAAGGTGCTATATAAATAAAATTTTACTTACTTTACTTACCCTCTGGTGGCTGTCAGAAACAATGCAAGTTTAAGTAATACATACACATATGTG